ATACATATATGTCTATATAATTAATATTTGAAACTGTCAGTATTTGGTAAAACTCCATAATTACAACCTTCACTGACAAAACCATGGTAGTATTAAATTAAATATTTGTGAAATGTAATATATGTGATCCTCAGTAAGTTTGACAGTTTTATTTCATGATTATCCAGTTTTAAGAGAGCTTCTAAAGGCTTTGCACTTATGACTGATCCAAAAGTGAGTTGAAATCCTGCTTCTAGCAGTTACTTACATCTCATTTGCTTATGAGATGGGTCAGAAAAACAATAGATCTTGTTGTCCTTATCTTTTGGATTTTCAAACCACGTCTTGCCCATCATAATACACTTATTTCTACAAACAAACAATTCCTTCTCTATTGTCACATACATAAGCCTTTACAATATATCCTATTTTGCCTAATTTCTTTTTATATTGCACACAATATAATATTTGTTACCATTTGGCCAAAACCTACACAGATTGGTTACATCCATTTGCAAATAATCCATGGACCATGATTATGGGCATGCAAAATAATTGACCCATTACTGATCTGTTTGAATGTTGTATTTTTAGCATTTCTTCACATTTACTTCATTAACTTTCTCACTATTTCCATTATACATAATACATTCAAAATGTATGCCCTGTTTTTAAAAGTCCATTAACATAACATTTAGAAACCTGGCACTGAATAATGCCGTTTTGTTCCCTGTCAAAAGTAACTTCTTTTGCTAAAGTAACTATGTCTATTTCTTCATTTCTCCAATTGACCCTTTTCTTCTTCAATAAGATGTCCACTTGATTTTTGTATACGTGATAGCATAGTTTCATGAATATTAATTCCAATTACCTAGGCACTGACTTTCTTTTGTTACAAATTCTGAAAATGTTTCTTCATCATTTGATTTGAAACTTTATCATTAGATGACTATAAACTTCAGTAATTTAACACAAAGTTCCTTATTTTCTTTAATTATATATATATTGGTTTTGTGAAGTTTCTTTATTTCACTTTCTATTTCTTTAAGCTTCTGTTCCAAGGAATTATTATTTTTACACTTATTGTTATTTTCTTATATATAGGCTCTTTCTGAGTATTTTTTAAAATAAGCTCTTTCATCATTTATCTTTGTTCACTTCCTCCTCATCTTGAATTTTACTCATAAGCACTCATCTTCACAATATTTTATGGTATAGGACTATTAGGTAGAAACTTTTGTGATGATATAGCAGTTTCTTTAAGTGTTCTTTTGGGTGGTAAATTCAGAAGTTGTGCTTCAAAATCTCATAAACTTCAGGCAAGAAATATTTAGAATATAGATAACACGAACTATTATTCCCTCTTCTGTCACAGTGGTATCCCTGAATCCATTGTTATGTTTTATCCCTTGTCTTTAAGGAAGGAATGATACTTGAACCTCTGTATATAGGCTTGATCATTTTGACCAACTTTGCAATTGCCATGTAACCTTGAATTTATACATACTATAGCTTTTAATGTAGTAAGTGTATCTTCACAAATTTGGCAAGCTTTTAGTAAGCATTACAAGTCTTTTTAATACAAAAAATCAGATTTTTTAATGAAGCATTTATTAAAGGTTTGTCTCTGTATTTATGGAATTAAGAATCTGACTCAGACTCTGACTAGTATGATTACAAGATGATTTTCATGCTAAGATTAAAGATATTTTTTGGATCCTACAGTTTTCATATTTCGTATATGTAACTTCTAGAACTTCCTAAATGAATATCAGAAGTTTTTTTCAGTAAAACTTTGTATTTTATCTGTTATTTTTGCTTCTCTAATACTATAAGGATACAGTCCATTTTATCGACCTTGTAACCACCATGAAATATAAGATATAAATCTAAGTTACCTTTTTTCTTTCTAGAATGATTGCAGATCATATCAAAAAATTAGTTATTTATCCTAAACAGCTTCAGGCTCATAATAATTTTCATTTGTTTTCATTTAATTTTATTGTTTTTATTGCCCTTTGTCTAACTAGTAAACTGATAACAAGCTAGAAATCACCCAGTGAATGTTTAGCTTTAGTTAAGTATTGAATGATTGTAGTCCCAAATATAAATTTTAAGATACTCCCTCCTGCATTAATTAATCTGTATTTTTGTCTATTCCAATCTAAAATAAAAATTTTATCCTTAATATTGTTTAACAAATCACCTATTTCATCGTAATATTTTCTGGTTAGCCTTTTATAGTTTTGTACTAGCCTGTTTGCATTATTCGTAATACTTTCATTATAGCTACTTCAGTGTTTGTGAATGAATAATTTCATTATTATTCTTAAGTCCAAAATTCACACTAGTTTCAGGATTAAGAGTCTTCTCAAATGCAAATAACTCTTTGTGTATTCTTGTTAGTAACCAAACATATTGTAGAAATTGTATACCTTAACAAGTGTTCATTTATCCCTTGCTAAAGTAAAATTTCTGTGTTCAACAAATACAATTACATTTCTTCTTGCTCCTATGGTCATTGTCAATGTCAAGAGGATTCTGGTACATCTGCAAACATACTTACTGCTTCTAATTTACATCAGTATATGCTTATTATTTTATGATACACTGTCTTTCATTATTCTAGGGTGAGTTATCCTAATTACATTCTCTCAAATATTCTAATATATTGTTGAAAGCTTTAAGTACTATTTCTGTTATTTTACTGCTATTACTACATAATTATACCATCATGGTGCATGTGTAATGACCTGTGGGACAAACCTGATGTGTCTGATTCTTCTTGTGAGAAAAGGTTGCACCAGTGGTTGATCTTCAACTGGATTAAGTGATCTCTGATTATAATCATGCAGCTGTGTATCTGGTGTGGACTGAAATGTTACCTGTGCTATGCTATCACTACTACCAGCACTTGGTTTGCTAGCCTGAGTGTCATCTAATGTCTTAATTTCTCTATCTGTAGTTACCTCATCTTTACTCTCGTAAAGAGTCTATATTTTCATCATCTGCTTTATCAAATCTATGACCTTGTAATTCTATCTTATCTTATTTCTTAAGCTTATTTGCCTTTTTCCTCTGTGTAACAATCTCTTTTTTTTGTCTGTTAACTTTGTATACTTATATGGTTTAGATTTATTTTCTTTAAGCAGTTCACATGTACTAACTGTTTATTTTTTAGCACAAATTTTCTGTTTTATGAATTTTCCTTGACTTTTCAACTCTAAACATTCCTTTCCAAAGTTTTGCTTGTTTCTTAGTGTTTCTCTTTTTAATGATATGTGTTTACACTAATATTTTATCTCTTAATGTAATTTTATTAATTTATGCCTCCTTATCTGACTGCTTTTTTGGGCTGAGGTAAATGTTCCTTTACTACTTTAAATGCAGTTCGTATCCTATGCGTTATTTCAGCATTTTAGTTTTTGTGTGATGATGAATTATTTATTTTAGGTGCTAATATTTCTTGCATAAGTAATATTACATCTCTACCATGTAACAAGAAGATTGCCTTCATTAATTTTGAAATGAAGTTTGTACGTCTATTTGTTAGCAAATACTCTGGTATGCCATGCCTAACTACAATGTGCAATGCAATAGTCTGTTTTTGAAAATCTAGTCAAATAATCAGCACCAACTAACATATATTTATTTTCTGCACATAAAGTTGGTAATGAACCTAAAATATCCATAACTATTATCTGAAATAGCATTGTTAAATTGGACATCATCTGTACAGGAGCATTTCTTAAATGTGGACTGGATTTTAAATGTTGACATTCTATAAATGATTCACAGTAGTTTATAATATCCTTTCTCATGTTTTGCTGACAGAACCATCTGACATGTATGTTTGTCATACACGAAGATACAAGAAATATTAAATTTTTCATTCACATAAGCTTTTGTAATTTTAACAAAATGTCTCAAATGCTTCACAACAACAGTGCGCATGAGATGGTCCCAGTGTCAATTTTAAATTTCAGTAGATGTGAGTCACAAGATGTAAACAGGATGAACATAAGATTTAAGACTGAACAAATTGTGAAAAGTTTAACATATACCAAGGGTGCTAGTGAACTGCAAGTACAAAATTTCAAGATGCTGTGTGTGTTATGCTTGGTAAAACTGGTACACATACTTATGGGAAAAGTCACTTATTAGGTTTCTTGTAAGAAATCTGAATAGCATTGATCCAAAGAGCATGGGAAGGGAAAAAGAGCACATAAGTGAAAATAAATGTAAAGAGTGTACTTAATTAAGATTTTTAGCAATCTTATGTTGAAATTTGATGATATATTTACTGTTATATGAAACTATGGCAAATATGCTAGCCTATGATAAAGATTATCACATGGTCAAGCATCTGTAGAGGGGGAGGGGATTTTCAGTCATCAGGCAGGTAGGCAAAACCTTAAAGAAGAAAGTTATTTAGCTCATAGAATCATTTGATCATATTGGTGGAATTTTAAAGGTTAAAATTCACAAAGGATTATTAATTTCAGCTGCTGGAGCAAGACAGAAGTATCAAGCATTTTTGGATGAAAATTTAAGAAAGAAAAAATGGAGAAGTTTTGTTTAAAAATCATTAAATAGTGAAATAGATGAGTTGAAAAAGAAAATGTTGCATAGGAAGAATTGTTTAGAGTATGACAAAGGAATTCTGCTCATTTGCATAAAATAGAGGCAACAACGAATATAATGATTTTTGTTACAAGATTAGATCATTTTTAATAAAACTGTGGATACCGAAAAACAAGAGCTGAGAAACATAAAAGAGAGGCTTGATGACATATAAGAAGACTTAAAAAACAAATAAATTATTCAGGAATTACTTGTGTTGTAAAAAATTAAAATAGTGTTGTTGATAAGTTGTGGTTAATATGTTGGCTATACTATTGTAATGTAAGAAGAGAAATATGTATAATTATTATTGACTTTAATGTTTTATATAATAAATCTTGCTTTTCACTGACATTTTTGAATAAATACTGTATTGAACAGAAACCCCCAGATATATGATATAATAAAGGTTAAAGGATTTTGTCTCATCAATAGTTAAGGTATATTAGTAAATCTTAGAAAATTGAATCTTGTGTTCATGGAAATGTTGTTGAATTTTTTATTTTTTTTTTACTAATTGTATGGGAAATCTATATATATATATACACATTATTAATATATTACATTAATAATAGAAACATATACAACTGGTACAGGTATCTATGTCACCCCCTGAAATGGTTTTTACTCCATCTCATTAAGTAAGCACAGATATGGGATCAAGATGGTACATGCTTCTATAGGATAGCCATTGTAGCACGTCACAAGAGAAAGTAGTGGTGTGTGTGTCTTCATCCTTTTTACATCCAGTTTACAAGAATGCCATGTTACTACATGTAGAGTACATGCATGAAAATTCAGAAACATTACTTAACCTTTTCAGTGCTGTCACTGTATGAGATATGGTAGTCTGTGAGAATACTATCTCCATGTAACACAAGTTTATTTTACCTGCCACTTTTTTAATTTGTATTGGCACTTTGGCTAGTTACTGTGCCAATACGAATTCAAAAAGTGTCAGAAAAATAAACCCATATTTTATACAGTGATAAGATTCTCACAGATTACCATATTTTGTACAGTAATAGTACTAAAAGGATTAAATATGCTTAAATAAAGATGCATTTTATACAAGTGAAATTATCAGTTATTTTGTATGTGACACCCATTACCTCAGAATTTTCCAAGACAAGAGCATGTGAACTGAACATTAATGTCAGAATTAGAAGATTAACCAGCAGATCATAATATGCAGTAATCATCTCCATCAGGTGACATACAAGATATTATGAAATTTACATGAAAACAACAGAGTTACAGAAGGCTACAATGACCAGTTAAAGTGAAATATATAAAAGAAAACTCAAAAATAAATATGAAATTACAATAGGGAAACCTCGATTTACAACTGAAATCAAAATTGCAGTAGAAGAAAACCATTATAAAATAAATTCATTGTACCATACATTTACAAGACATTAAAGGATTTGATGTGGTTATTAAGACCTTGTGATGTAAGGTTAACTATGATTACTTATCTGTAATATATTCTTTTAAGGTTGAATGCACATGTTATTTTCATCAATACTGGTGAGACAGTGTTTCAATTTCAACAATAAAATATAGGCTTATACTATCTCTGAGAAAAAAAAACAGTTTTACCTTTTTTTCTTTTGGAAAGAGTAATGCAATATATTTCACTTGAATCAAAATGTATGAGTGGTTAAGTTATCAGTAGTATATGAAATTCATGGACTGTAGCTTAAATATCTTAAAAAAAAATGTAAACTTAGTTTGTCTGGTGTTTTATTTGGTTGTAATAGAATATTTTCAATACTGCAGTTTGAAACAGTTATTAAAGCACATGGTTTTCTAAATATTTTCTTAAAATTTTTTCAGTACAAGACACAGTAAAAGATGCATGAGAATGCAAGCTGTAAGTGTACTAGGGGGAAAGTAACACCTTCTTGGTGCAATTTGCACCAAAGCTAGTACTAAACATTTAACTTAAGGAAAGAAAGTGTAAATGTTAGTGGATTCTAATGGTCAAAAGTAAGGAACTGGCATTGTGTAACCTGAATTAATTCATGTGTAACCAGTTTTGCAGCCTTCACTCCATTCTTTTCCTACTAGAACTAGGCACTATTTGCATAACAAGTAGACGGTAGTGGTGATAATGTATCTGGGTCAAATGGTTTACTGTTGTCACTAGAATAGCAATAGGGGCAGCATGGCTACTAAGTATTGGTCAACCATATAATCAATGAAACATGTGGACCAAGAAGTTCACTGGTATCAAACCCAGTCAAAGCAAATTAACTCAGAATTACTTTATAATAAGTCGTGTTGAACCTCCTCCTTTTTCAAGGGGCCTATCCCATTGCTCTTAGATTAACTCAGTTTTACCCAAAGTATACTGTGCCTGTGATTTTGAAATAAATAAGTACCCATGTGTATTCAAAATGTAGATTAATTTTTGATTGATCAACAAAAAATGTGTTAGCTTCACAATTAGATATATATAGCAATAACAAATATAACTTAAAAAATGTTTGACAAACCTATATATTTTTTTATGACATATGTGTGTGTTTATATATGTATAAAAGTGTGTGTGTGTGTAATTATTTTCGGTGAAAAAATTTGTGTGTATATGTGTATGTATGTAAATGTATGCATATTCACAGATTTTAAAATCAATTCAAATATGAATGAAGTGACTTGTCATCTTGACAATAAAGCTTGAGAAAATTTGTAAAAGGACAGGAATAAAAAATCTAATACATCAGAAAGATTGATTATGAAAGAGTTAGGAGGCTAAGCTGGTCATTGGCATAAATTAAAAAAAAATAATATATATATATATATATATAAAAATCTAATACAATAAATTTCC